ATGGAGACCTTTTGGACCTTGATTCTTACAGTCTATAATGAGGAGAAGTTTGTGAGGGATGATGACGATGATGAAACAAAGAGGGGAAGATACACCTGTCTCTTATACACATCTAGATGTGTATAAGAGACCCCCTCCCCCCTCTGTACATCCGACCTCTGGTTTCAACCACCCATGCCTAGACAAGGACAGATGGGCGAGACGAATAACTTGGCTTGGCTTCCCTTCTTTTCTACAACTTCATCATTGGTTGTCATTCTGTCAGGTGAGAAGGCATCATAACAAACAACACACCCACCCACGGTGCAAGGCAGGACAAGGGACGGCAATACAGCATATCAGGCTAACAGCGGTACACACTCATAAGACAAAATAACCTACTTCCAATCCCTTAACACATGACAGTAAGTCAAGCAGGTGAAACATACTTGCCTGCCACCCTCAACTATTCTCAATGACCAAGAACAGTGACTAGCAGTGCTGGCGACAGCACTCGACTAAAACGAGAAAGACAACTTACACATTGATCCCTCCGCTTGCACTTCCGGTTTCATCTCCCTTTCCCCTACATGACAGTCTCAGAATATGATAAGGAGCATTCAACATTTACTTGTTCAAGCAAACATGCAAGTAAGCTATGCACGCAAAGCACAAAAGCAAAATCTGCAAATCCTTCTGGAGCATCAAGCTTACCCCGCTCAGACGTGGTAAAACCACAGCGCCGAACTGTGGTATATACTACATAGATATGGCCATGCTATCATGGCACATCACATGGTCGACTGAGCTTGCACAGGTCAACCACCAGGATGCAGATATGGTAGTATTAGTATGGCAAACTATGGTAAACCGTCGTAAACTATGGTAGTATTACTATGGTTACCATATTACCATGGTAAGTTGGTAACCAATGCTGATCTCATCATCTCACCCAGTTCAATTAGCAATTGGGAGGCGAGCACAAGTACACGCGACCTCCATGCTAAGCATATGTGGGTTTCCAAAACATAGACGTATGGCATGTGCAGAGAAAGTTTGGAAGAGGGAATGCCAGATTAACCTCCCCACTCCAATGTTATTGACCAGTAGCATTTTCGAGTCTCGAAAGCCCTAATTTGCTGAGTTTAAAGTTTAAACTTTAAATGGATATAACGCCCGCCAGGCATTTTGTTCGCTTACGATGCCCAGGTTTTATATTCAGTAAACTCCTAGCAACTTCAGTGAGAGCCTAAAATCTTAAAAAAGTTAAAAAAAACAAAAGAATACCAAAAGAATACCAAAAGAATTTGTGAAAAACATATGTTGTGCAGAATTGCAATGCAAACAATTTTCGGTTGAGCATCACTTCATGGCTTCCTTATTGATTGGAAGATAAGAAACACAGATAGACCCGTTTGTACTTATAACCCATGGTGGTTCCCCCATTCGCCCAGCTGGCCTACCTCCGCCCGGAAGCCTCCCGGGCGAACTGGGTGTTCCACTGGGCTGGTGCACCCCCGGGCGGCCCCAGTGCATTTTCACTTGGGGGTGTTCTTGGCCTGGAAATGGCCAGGGCGGCGTCCCTCTGGCTTGTGGAGACAGCCCAGCCAGGGAAAAAAGGGGGCCTCCAGCCCACTTTTTCGGAAATGAACTGACGGCAGACCTAGGCCCCTGATCTTGCAAGATCAGGGCCCAAGATCAGCCACCTCCGAACCTGTGGTTTGGGCAGGAGTTCACGTTCCTATTCGCCCCTTGCCCCTTGCCCCACTACTATTTGGTCTGCTGCCATTCACCCCGATACCATTCCTTCCTTTTCTTCCTCTTCCTTTCCTCTTCTACTTCATTTGTTGTTCCTCTGTTCGTCTTCTTCTTCTCCTCCTCCCCCCTGTATCCATAGCCAGGTCCTGCCAACGCCATATCTCCTCCCCCATTCACCACCGTCAACATTTTTTTCCTCCTTAGTCTTCCCGTAGCCATATCCAAGCCCTGTCATTGCCATAGCCCCTCATCCACCACTTCTTCATTCATTTCCGAAACTAATCTTAAAACACCACGAGCAGCTCAGTGTCGAGGTCTGGAACTGAAAGTCATCCCAACAAACTGAAAAATCCAATTATGTGGAAGGAATTCACATTAGTTGTCCGGGTTGAAAAAATGGCGCAGAGATTGCTAAGACCAAATGATCTCAGATTGAAACAAGGAGGTCAAAGAGCGCCGGACATCTTTGCATGTGTTCTCAGATAAAAAAAGAGTATGCTCAGTCACAAGCATCTACTCCTTCTGGAATCTAGGGAGTCAAGGCGTGGGTCTCTAATTGGCTTCCTGGATTACTCGACGCAGGGGGTTTCTTTTACGTATGTATGGTCAGCAGTTGTGAATTAGCGAGGTTCAAATTCTTCTATTCATGCACACAGTGGGTACATCCACGAACGCAAAGTACAATGATTGTTTGTCGTCAAATTTTTTTCTTCTTCTTGGCAGTCAACAGCATCATAGTGGGCCGCAGCGGTGCTGCGGCTGGACCGTCTAGACGCAGGTCAGAGAGTGCTGGGGTGCGCACGGCAAAAGAGGCTGTGGTGCACAATGCTCCTGATGACTGTCAACTGTGACCGTCATCAGCAAGCAGCCTAGCCGGGTACTGACCCCCATCTCTTCAAACCGAAGACGAAAGGACACAAAAACTTGCAGCTGAAGCACACAGTCTGTAGGTGGTTTGCACAAAGACAAGCGGCATCCCCAAAAGAACGCAGGGAGTATTGTATCAAGTGAAGTCTTGGCTTGAAGATCTGTAGGGGTTCGGTGTCTATGGCGGTCAAGCACTCCTCGAAAGTTCGGAAACTATGCCCTTTCCGGATGGGGAGATCATCAATGTACTGGTCGTTGCAGGTGGCAGGGTGAACCCCAATGAGTCATGACATGAACACAAGGAGCATGTTGCAGGACTTCAGAGGGCAGGCAAGGATTGCTCTGTGGGATGGTAATCCCACAGAGAATGGATCAGCTCGAGAGGATGAGCCTGCGGAGCTGCAACCGCCCCCTGTCGCAGAGTTGGCAGTCCCTGACACTGCTCGGATGGCTGCTGCTACAGATCACGACCTTGGAGGGGGCAGACGAGGCGCCTGGTGAGGGGCACATGTCGACTGGACGAGTAGTCGTCAAGCAGCAGACCACAATCTAGAAGTGGGTGGCCAGCGAGGCATAACGGAAGTTACACATTGCTTGGGCGAAGGCATGTTGAGGGTTGGCATTCTTGAACATGGACACAACACACAGTCTGCACGAGTTGCAATCGGGAGTTACCAGTGCAAGGCCGTAGGTGAAGCTGCCTTCCTACAAGCACATGCGGACAATGGGACACCGACATCGAGTTCTTGATGCAAACTCAAGTGGATGCAAACGAGGAGGTCACTCAGGCCAAGGCCGTGACAGATAGAGAACAGGACACTCTGAAGTGGTGGATGTGTGAGGAGGAAGCCGTCGTGCTGCAGTCCCAACCTTAAGGGAAAGAGAGAAACACAGTGGACAGGTGGCGCAGCAGCAGGACCAGCAGGAGATCATCCAGTGCCTGGCGTGCTTGTAGGATGTGAGAAAAGGAATGTGCAGCTCGAGGAAGATAATGTGCCACAGGAAGACAATTCTGATTAGTGAATGATGCAGCAGAGGGAAACACAGAACTGAAGAAGAAAGGAATGAATCCTGATGTCAGGTGGAAAGAGGTACAAAAGGAGCACCTCCGACAATGGAGAATAGAGGAGG